CATCCTCATCTTAATTTAGGCCCTTTTCTTCAGGGGGAGGAGGCCCTAGTGAGCTGGAGAATCTGTCCCAGAGCTCAGTGGTGCCTTTTTAAAAAGGCATCCAGGTGAAGTGACTGTGTGGTTTTTCCACAAATCAGAAATGTCCTGTTAAAATCAGTGTGCCCTATGCTAATGGCTCTGCACCCTAATGACAGCAAAGAAAGTCAACCTGATCATTCAGATAAAAGTAACATTTACCCAAATGATAAGAGACTCAAATATAATTTCTGCATCAGCTGCAGCTTGCCAGACAGTGTTTGATATTTGGATAGTGTTTGTGAAAGGCAGATAAAAGGTTAATGGGAAATATCTCTGACAGTTGCTGGATGTAATTTAGAGATGGACTACAGCCATGTAGTTACATACCAGATTTGGGGTTTGGCTCCTTATATTAGAGAGATAAGGCCCAGGAAGGGATACACACATTCAACCAGAGATGAGTTTTTCCAAAAAGACAGTTTCAGTCTGAAAAGGAACAGGCAGTTTGACATCTGAACCACCTGCTCTCTGTGATGCACCACCTTCCAGGCACTCTTTAAAGGTGTTGGGTGCTGGTGGTACCATTTAGTCCTCCGTCTCTTCCTACTTCCCAGAGAGGGGTGGAGGGTGGCAGTGATGACCAGTTACTCATGTCTTAGTCCTTGTTTATCTCAGTAGCATGTAGCAAAAGAAAACAACAAAGGTATTCCTTACTCTTCCTTACTGTTCTCATTCCTCTTGTTGATCAAACTGTGCCTTTTCTTATTCGCTTCATGTTCCTGGGCCTTGTGTCTTCCCACACGTGGGCTTTACGTAGCACAGGCTGAAAAATGTTCTGCTACAGCTTCTGTATTAAGAGAGTGATTGATTAAGGTGTTCAGAACATGACTTTCATTTCAACTAGATCCACTGAGGTTGATTTTTTTCTTTTGTGTCCCCAAACTGACTCCTCTTGCAAAATATGATTTTTTTTCTCCATCTCTGACTTATCTTTAAGCTCTTTTGAAATCTTTTATGAAAAACATCATCTCAGTCTCCAATTGTGCTTTGAACTTTGGGGCTGTGCAAAAAAGCTGTTTGGGAAGACAACTGCTAAGGTGAGGTTCTGAACTTACATGGGCACAAATGCCCAGAAACACTGAAGAGAGGCCTGAAACCACTGCTTTGAAGGCACAAACTCTTGTGGCCCTCGTATTATATATAATATCTTATTCAAATGACAGCTTTTCTAGAGACAGAATGTCTCCCAGTGCCATTCTGGGAAATTAAATTCAGTGTTGAGTTTGCATAAAGAGAGAGGAGAGCTACTTGCTGCTTCATCACTTTATGAGCCTGGCATCTGTACCATTGCTTAGCAAATTTTGCTTCCAGTAATCCTCTATTTCTTCGGAGCTGAGCACCAAGAACACACTCCGAGCAATTCCTACAGAAAGACCACAAAACCAACACCTCAGAATAAAGTTATCACCTTTGGCTTATAATTAAAACTCCCAGGGCAATTGGTGGTACTTGCAGATGCATTACTGAGCCTGTGATTCTTCTCTCCAGCACTTTTGCAGGTGGCTGAGGGTAGGCGAGTGTGCCTGGGGTAACATTCCTGGTTGCTGGGCTGCTGGAATTCAGCTGCCCTCCTTAACAAAACAGTTTGGTTTAGACATTTTTAATGCATGTGCCACGGTGTAACATGCATTTGGAGGAAAAACTAAGCAGAACTAAGGCACTGAAAGGTGAGGTTGTAAAATTGGTGTTTCTCAGCTTTGATTAATATTGACTGTTAATCTTGTTTTCTCGTGCCACTGCTTTTTCCAGGTAAAAGATGTTGAAGAGCAGCCCAAAGCATCTGACAATGCCAAATACAGACGTAGTACCTCAGTATATGCCTGTGCTGGAAGTCAGCAATGCAGTTTGCCAACTGTCAGAGTTGAGTGTAGGGTAACAATCTAATTCAATTAATTCTGCCAGAGATATTGGCATTCCCTTTTCACCTGTCATGCCACAACACCTAAAGACTGGTGAGTGTGGGCACACAGCTGTGCTGAACCATAGCAGAATTGCAGAGATGCTTTGGTCCCTGCTTAACTGAGCAAACTCCCATTTATGCATGTATTAGGTTTTCACTGCCTGTCGCCTGTTCCTCTCCCCCCTCTGCTTTTTCATGTTCAGTGGACTCTCCTCTCTGTGTCTCTGCCTCTCTCTCTATTTTTTTTCCTCCCTATTGTTCCCCACGTCACTAACTGTCACTCACTTCATAAAGCCGTCTGGCTCGGAGCTTAAATATTGCAGGGCAACTAAAACCCACCATCAGAGCCAATTCAGTCATATCTGCTCAGTCGTGCGACAAGATTGGGGCTTTTAGGGTAGGGAAGAAGAGAGACAAAAGTTCACTCTTCCCTGCAGAGTGCCAAGAGAGGAGGGGGACATATTTCTTCGGTGGAGCCTTTCACAGCGGCAAGTTGCTTGCTCAACATCCTTAACCTGTACGGTCTTTTTTGCCGGTAGCGTGCTCAGGAAGCGCAGGGTGGGGGTCTGCAACGAGCCCACGAGAGTTGAGAACATGAATCTGTTGACTCTTGAGTGGGCTTAGGCAGTGCCCTGCTCTTTCCTCACGACAGGCAGTTTTTAAGGGAGAAGGTGAAGTGCATAAGTACATTGCTCGCGCCTTTTCCTGAGACTCGAGGGGCTGGCTGCTCGCGGGTGGAATCCTGAACACCTGAGCTGGTCGTGCCACTTGTCATCAGTCCACCCAATATTGTTGCTTGCAGTTGAGCCGACTGAGCAACCTCGAACCACTTCACTCGCACAAAACGGAGAGGGTGGTCATGGCAGAGTTTTAAAAAAAACGTGGCCGGTTCGGAAGTTGTCTCAGGAAGAGTTCAGCCAAATGTAGCAAGCTGTGAGCAAGACAATTGGTGGAGTTAGCCAGGGAACATTTTTCCTTCTCCTGTACAGTGAGTTTTCTGTATGATAAGGTTTATCACATCTAGAATGTTGCTCTTGTGTGCTGCAGTGCTAATGTTCGAAAGGTAGTGTGGCTTATCAGTGGGACTCACAAAGGAAGAGAGGGATGGAGTTAACTGAGGTGCCTGGGGGACAATGAAGTTTATACTGCGTGTAGTCATGTTTTTTACAGAGTTGCACATCACTGGTAACTGTTGGGTGTACTTTGCTCTGTGAATTTGCAGAAAGAGGATGTTTAAATCAGTTTAGATAATGTATGTAAACAGCATAATCTTCTGCTAGACTTGTTAATGTAAGCGCTGACATTAACACACTCCTTTACACAACTTTAATGACTGAGAAAGTAGCAATTTTCTTCGGTGATTAAATTATATGTTTGCTGCTTCCTCCTGTGAGGTGTTTGTGCAAGCTGAAGGGCTGCGTTCTGTTTTTCCTTTTCTAACACGGGTGCCTGGGGTTAAAAGAATGTTATGAGGTTTGAGGGCGAGGAATATGAGTCCATCTTGTTTGAGCAAAATGCCATCGTAAGTGTTTTTTTTTTTTTGACTGAAAATTGGTGAAATTCCCCAGAGCTGTAGAGCTCTCAGTATTGTGTGTGTTTGTGTGTGTGTGAATATGTACACACAGTAGCTGAGGCAGACTAGTATGCGTTGGTGTGTCATAACATATGGCATTACAAATATATCCCAGCGGGATCTGAAGGAGGAGGGAAGTTTAGATGCTCAGATTTCCATGGTCTTGGCTGTACCTTCTTTTTCCCTGGTGCTTGTGTATGTGTGTGTGCATTTAGGAGACTATAGATGGAGGTAGTATCTAAGAGGTGAACTTCTAGTTCCCTGTGAAGAGCTATTTTATGAATAATGTTCCCTGTTTCACTTGTCGTGGTCCACCACTTGGTCTTTCTGGACCACTTTAATACTCTGCATTCCTCAGAGACTTCAGACTGCTGTGGTGTGTTTAAACCAGCACATCCAAAATACCTTTCCTTTCTATTTCCCTCATACACAGGTTTTTCCTTGCCTGCAATGATACAGTGGGAAGTTCAGGATATGCAGGATGAACTCCTGACCTAGGAATAATTTCTTAGCATGCAAAAATGATGACAAAAATAATGTAATATTTGACTTGCATTACTTGAAAATGGACTACTTTCTTAGCTTTCCAGTAGGATATCTACAGCTGGCTTCCAGCTCTATGTCAGCTTGAGATAGCAGCACTGACATTTCAGAGACAGTGAGGAGTATTTTAGGTCCCAGTTAGAGACCTTTGTGTTTTTCCTCGGGTTGGAGGAAAAGCCAGTGTGGCAACTGACTTCAGAAGAGGATGCAAAGAATAGCCCCAATAACTGTATTCTATATAATGTATTCTGTGAAGCAAAACTAGTCTATGTAGTAGTTATTAAGCTTATACAGTATTACTAACTAACACCATAGTAATGGTGTTGTAATTGCTGTTCTTACCTAACAGAGTGGTTGCTAATGCAGAATTAATATATGCAGACTAGAGAGAATCCGGGTTTATTGTAGGTGCAAGATGGGCGCCAACGTGAGATCTGTTTGACCCCTGTGTGGTGTTCTGGTGCAGGAGAGCTTGGGTGCTTGAAAGCTGCACTCTCTTTTCTAACCACTGCAGCTGCATGCTGATAGATCTGTTCCACTGTATTGCTGGTGTTTGTACATGTATGAAATCCAAGCAGGCTCACGCAACTAAGCCTACAAGGCACCACAGAAGACTCTCACCTGGAAAAGGAGATAAATATACTCCCTGGCTGAAAAGTAATTGCCCATTTAGTGCCATGAAAGAAAGAATTTAGCAAGCAGCTTGCTCTGGCTTCCCAGCCCTTCTCCTGCTAATAAATCATTGTGATCAGGCAAATCAGCAAATAAGCAAATGACCATCTTTCTGTTCTCAAAGCATATTAGGGAAATACTGATTGAAAGCAGCAAAAGATATCAGCGGGAAAACCTAAATCTTTTAAATTTAGCGTAATTTGTGGTCTTTCTCTTTCTTTTTTCTTCCCTTAGACAGTAAGAAATGGGTGACTGGAGTTTCTTGGGGAACATTTTAGAGCAGGTGAACGAGCAATCCACTGTCATCGGGAGAGTTTGGCTCACAGTGCTCTTCATTTTCCGCATCCTGATCCTGGGAACGGCGGCCGAGCTGGTGTGGGGAGACGAACAGTCAGACTTTGTGTGCAACACCCAGCAACCTGGTTGTGAGAACGTCTGCTATGACGAGGCCTTCCCCATCTCCCACATCCGGCTCTGGGTCCTGCAGATCATTTTTGTATCCACGCCTTCGCTGATGTACTTTGGGCATGCTGTGCACCACGTCCGCATGGAGGAGAAGAGGAAAGAGAGGGAGGAAGCTGAGCGGCGCCAGCAGGCCGAGGTGGACGAAGAGAAGCTGCCCCTGGCTCCAAACCAAAACAAAGGCAACAACCCTGATGCAACCAAGAAGTTTCGCCTGGAAGGTACTCTCCTGAGAACGTATATCTTCCACATCATTTTCAAAACCCTCTTTGAGGTGGGATTCATAGTAGGTCAGTACTTCCTGTATGGCTTCCGGATTCTCCCCCTTTACCGCTGCGGGCGGTGGCCCTGTCCCAATCTTGTGGACTGTTTTGTCTCCAGGCCTACGGAGAAGACCATCTTTATTATGTTCATGTTGGTGGTGGCTGCCGTATCCCTCTTCCTCAACCTGGTGGAGATCAGTCACTTGATCCTGAAAAGAATCCGGAGGGCTCTGAGAAGACCAGCAGAGGAACCGCTTGGAGAGGTGCCGGAGAAGCCTCTCCCTGCCATCACGGTCCCCACCATCCCAAAGGCCAAAGGCTACAAGCTGCTGGAAGAAGAGAAGCCGGTGTCCCTCTATTTCCCTCTCACGGAAGTAGGGGTTGAGCCCAGCCCCCTTCCATCAGCCTACAATGAGTTTGAGGAGAAGATTGGGGTGGCTCCACTGGAAGATCTCTCCAGGGCATTTGATGAGAGGTTGCCATCGTATGCACCAGCTAAGGAACCAGAAGAGGAGAAAGTAAGAGCGGAGGAGGAGGAGGAGCTAGAAGAGCAGCCTGAGGAGCCAGGGGTGAAGAAAGCAGAAGAGGAGGTGGTGAGCGATGAAGTGGAAGGGCCTTCAGCACCTGCTGAACTCGCCACCGATATGAGACCCCTCAGCAGGCTAAGTAAAGCCAGCAGCCGGGCCAGGTCAGATGATTTGACTGTATGAAGGTGCAGGATACAGGGAGCACATGAAAAGGAAAAAGTTGAAGAGAAAAGGAGAGATAGAGAAAGAATCAAAAGATATTTTTAAGCAAAGCGCTAAAGTGGCCATTTGAATATTATTTCCTTTCATGATTCCCAACTGGAAAGGTACTACCATGGTAACTGTGCCTTATTTGCCCTGTATGTCCCTGTATTTCCCTGTTTCCACATGCCAGCTCACTCCTTACAGTAATATCTACACTGTACACATAACAGATGTATTTTAAAACCTAACATGGCAGTGATACTCAAATGTTGCCACTGTGAACGTATTTACTGAAAGCCTTGTGTTCCACATTTGTCTGGGAATGTGGGGAGGATCTGTCTTTCAGCCAGCAAGGGGGAAGACTGATCAACAACTGTATCTAGTCTTTCTGTTTCCACCTATGGCTCGCTGAGCAGATCTCCCCTTTGCTGTTGGCATGGAATTGCAGTTAAATTTAATCCACAAAGTGAATTCTGTGCTTAGCATCAACACACTAAAATAGTAAGCCCAACTTCCCTTCTCTATCCAGAAAATAAAAGCCAAAAATGTTCCCAGTTTCTCTGTGAATGCATATCTGACTTAGGTAAAAATATTTTCCCTTTGTCAAAAATATTTCTGCCCTTCAAGTGAGATTGACAGTGGGCAAGGTTAACAGTGGCTCCCTACTAGGATTTAGCAGATGCCCAGAGAAGGATTATTTGTTCCCAAGAGGGTCACCCAGCCCTGAGACTATTTCAGTATACTGGAAAGAATAAATTCAAGTGATATTTTTTACTTGTAGCCTTGTGACTTAAAGATCTGAAGCTTGATTTAGCCAAGCAAGCGTGGGAAGGCTTCTGAGAAAGGAGGGAACAGCTACAGCCCCCAGAGCATGAAACCAAATACAAGCCTTCATGGTATGATCCTGACATATGCTCAGTTCCTGGAGCTTGCGGGCTTCCAGGCACTCAGCAAATCTCAGGTACAGAGTCCTGAAGGCACCTGTGGACGTACACCAGGGGTCTGGGTAACTATGTGACTTCTTAAACCTCTAAATACAAAACTGGTTGGTCAAGTTTGAAAAGACTGGTATGGTAATAGTCTTCTTTGACATCTTTTGTTTTTAATTTGACAGATAGGAGCTGTTCAGTGGGCTACTTCTCTATTAAATGCCAAAGTCTCACTCAAGTAAGACAAGGCCTTTCAAATGATGATTTAGACCTTTTGTGCCAACAGGTCTGTACAGAACTCTGAGACTCAGAAAAATATTTTTTACGGAAGGCAGAAAATCATGTGCTTGCAATGTTTAGATGTCTAATATAGATTTCTAAGTTTAGGACTACAGCAGCACCTTTTGGCTGGGACAGTGCAGCAATGTGTTCAAAAGCTTCAGGTTAGCAGCCGTGTCCCCCCAAAACTGAGCCTCATGCCAAAAAAGTGCAGGTATGCACTCTCATCTGCTCTGCTCTGCAAACCTCAGACCCTGCCATCTCAGCAAATTCTTTCTGCTGGGCTGCAGCCTATCCCATTGTTCCCGGGGCAGGCTTTAATCCAGGTCAGGGAAAAAAGGTCTTTGGCACAATGAGTAAAAACTCATCCCAGCCATCAGCTAGAAAAGACCCCCCGTGGCCTCCCATTGTAGCAGGTTTGACTCAAAGCCCCTGGGAGTCAAACCGGGCGTCTGAGAGAGCTCTGGGCAGGCTCGGCTCACACCTCCAGTCCCGCTGCCCCACGTCCCAGCCCAGGCAGCCCCCAGTGCAGTCACTCCTGTCACTCGCTGGTCTAATCCAGTTTCCCTGCCCAGGTAACTCAGCTGCCCCTGGTGAGCGCAGAGGTGGCTGGACTTCACTGCCGAGTGACGTTAAGCTGTACATATGTAGAAAGTTTGTGGGGTGCACTGGGGTTCTTCAGCACCACAGCGGTGCCACGTATTTTATTATTTTTTTACACTATTAATCCTTTTGCTCCTCTTGAGCCCATGTATTTTCCCCAAGGTGTGCAGCCTGAGGTCGAAACCTTTGCTCCTTAGACAAAGGCTGTTAGGTTGTCCTTCCTTGTGAAGGAAGACTGGAAGGTACCTCCTCAGTTTCAGGAAGGAATAGGACAAAGCAAAAGGACGTGCAGAGAGAGAGTGTCTGTAGATTACAATTTATCCACGCTCCTAATACAGGAACAGGAGAACAGTTATCACAGACGAAAGGCAACTGAGGAAAGAGAATGTTTTTCAGAAGGAAAAGAGTCCGCTGTGCCCAATTCAAGATACTAGAATTCAAGAAAGGGCAAAGATTTAGACGAACAAGAAAATCACCATATTTATACTAGATGGGATCTATTACTTCTTTATTTTTCCCACAGAAAGATAGAGTTTTAATGGTTCTAAGGATCAACCAGCCTACTTGTTGAAGGGGCTTGGAAACATACTTTCCTGTAGGTAAAAACCAAAACCCTGTAAAGGTTTAGTATGAGGGGTCTTCTGCCTTCTTCAGAGCATCTGACCTTTCCAGATAACAGTGTACTGGACTAGATGAATCACTAGGTGAATCATGCCCACCCTTGTTGCTTTCTAATTGACAATTCCACTCCTGCTCTCAACCTCTGACATTCATACCTTCGTAAGACCCCGGGGCTACTTAAAGATGAGTGCTTACACTCATCAGGAGTGTGTGGTTCACAACGGGGCTGTCAGGCAGGCCAGTCTTTAATCACCACATGGTGGGTACGTCATTCTTTCTCACTGGAGAGCCTCTGTAAAATGCACTATATGCACTCAATGGACACTGTAGTTCTTCCACAGCCGCCGCAGGAACGCTTGTTTCTTCCTCCGGGTCACGACTGCGCAGTGAGACAAGCCAACGTCTTCCTCCTGCATCCAGTCAACTGCTTGATTTTTTTTTTTTTATTTATTTTTTTTTTAAAAAGCCAGTTTTCAAGTACCCTGCCAGGCTGCTGGTGAATCTGTAGCCACCAAGGACGGGCCACGGCATCAGGACATGGGCAGGGAACTGATAGTCCGGTCTTCCGGCATTCAGCCTCATCTCTGCGATGAAATCACTGTGGGACTGTCAGCAAGTCGTTCTTCCTTCTTGTGCAATTGGGAATAATTTTCTACCTTACAGTGATGATGTGAGGCTTGATATATTGTGTTAGTAATGGAAAGGGAGGTCCTTGGATGGAAGGCCCTACAGATGAGCAAAGGATTATTGCTATTTCTGGATGTGATAGCATATAAATGTGTTTTATTCCCTCTCAATGAGACAAATTTAAAATGTTTATTCAAGAAATTCCTAGTGAAGTTGCATAACAGCCTCAGAGCTGTGGATTCACTGTATGATTCTACTTACAAATAATTATGCAAAACATACATATATATATGAAGAACAGGGAAAATTATCTCCTTGGGAAGGGGGAAGTCACTGGACAATTAGAGCCATGCCTGGATCATTTAAAGGTGTGTTTACCCCCTTGGCTCCCTGTGCAAAGAAGTTACTAACTGATCACATGGCTCTCTGCAAGGAGCATAAAATGCAAGTGTCAAAATCACCAGAGGAGGTGATAGTAGAAGAGAAAGGTAGTCTCTTAGCTTACAATAGCATGTGGAGGTTGGTGTTCTCTAGTGTCTAGAGCAGTGGACCTAGGATAATAATCTTAGATTTATTTCCAGCTCTGCTTCTGACTTGCTGTGATAATCACTTTACCTCTCAGTGCCTGTTTTCTCCACCTGTAAAATGGGTTGTAAGAATTTCCACCTACCTCACAGGGATGTTGTGAGGCTTCCTTAATTCTGTTTGTAAAGTAAGTAGGAATGATCTGATGAAAAGCACTGCTGAAATGCATGGTATCCTTGTTATTTCCTGGCAGAACTGCTAACTCGGTTAATTTATGACTCCTCGACCAGAAGGGCAGTAGTTTGGAAATGTGAACGCTGCACTGCACTGACAACATTAACACGGATGTGGATTTGCCATGGGTAAAAAAGACTTGGTTGATTACCTCATCCTTCTCTCCCACCTTAGCCTTGGCCTTGCCAGATATGAAGCTGTGGTGACAGTGTGGTTACATGGACCCCTCTTCATCCCCAGCATCCATTCTGGGGCAGAATTTATGCTTAAATAAGGCGGTTCCTGGAGTGCCGGGTTCGGGTTGGTGGAGCTCTGACAGTTTTAAAGTCCTTGCAAGGGAGAGGGCTGTATCACACAGTACATTGCTGGGCTTCTGTTTCAAACCACTCAGTGTCATAGACACCAACAATCTCTTAGTGCTGAAACAAAACGAGGTACAGATTCCTCCTCCTGTAGGAGGGGAGAGATTTGGGGGGTGGTGGTGGATCTCTGCTCTCTAGGTCTGTGTGGGCATGAAATCTACTTACTGAGGGGGGAAGTCCCATCTCTCCTGCCACTCAGTAACTCACTGACTGTGCAGTTTTACATTTAAAGAGAGGCTGTGTCACACAATGATGAAAAAAGGTGGCAGTTTGCTGTTTTGTATAGAAAATGGCTTTTCAGGCTGACAACTGAAAGTAATCCTAGCCTAGGCGTAGTTTTGTTTAGTAAAGGCAGGAACATCCATGAGAACTAGGCTAAAGCCTTCCTGTAAGCCCAAGGCAGTTGTTATAAAACAGGATATGGTGCCAGATTTCCTGAGGGCCAGGGTTGGGTAAACGTACCAAAATCGGGGGACTTGTCTAAGGGTTGGAATAAGTTTTTTCCCCAAAAGAAAGACACCACCATTTTTTAGGCTCTGTGTGTGCTAAACCTTTTAGCATGGCTCAGGAAAGGCTTTTTGCCAACACCAAGTGTAATTATACAGCTGAGTAGTAACCATGGCAAACAAACGTGTGTTGATTTGCCAAGACATAGCCTGGCACACAATCCTTTCCTGGCAACCAGCTTGGCAAGCACCTATTTCAGTAGAAGAGGCAAGACTCATGTATCTGTCAACAATTCAAGCTTTTCTCTCAGCAGCCTGATGTACAAAGAGACATTGAAGGTTTGTGCAGCCTAGAGAGGAGGGGGCTAGGGGTATGGGGTCAGGTACCTAATGGGGTGTTCCAGAGGAGATGGAGGCAGACTCTCAATGGAGGGGAGTTCCAGAGAAGATGGATGCAGACTCTCAACAGAGGTGCACAGCAAAAGATCAGAGGCAACAATCACAATGAGCAGTGAAGGAAAATTTTGACTAAAAAATTCTGACGAGGGAAAAAATTGTTCAAGTGGAGACTGGTTCAGCATTAAAGGGGGTGCCCAGAGGAAGGGTGGGATCTTCATCCTTGGGGGTGAAGCTTGACTGGGAAAAGCCTTGTGCACCCTAGTCTGACTTTGCATTGAGCTGAAGGTTGGGCCAGCTGGTCCCTTCCAGACTGAACTACCTATCCCATGGGATACCCCAAGTTGAAAGCTCAGTGCAGCCACTGCATGGTGGGATGACATGTGTAGGGCACTTTCTGCCTCTCCAGGGTGTTCTGGTAGAGCTGGTTTAGACTGTCCCAAACCAACTAACCAGGCACTGCATACACAGAATAAACTGTGCAAGTGTTCAAGGCCAGGTTGGACGGGGCTTTGAGCAACCTGGTCTAGTGGAATATGTGCCTCCCCATGGCAGGGGGGTTGGAATGAGATGATCCTTAAGGATCCCTTCCAACCTAAACCATTCTATGATTCTGTGATTCTATGAACTGATGTTTGGTAGCTACAGAAGCTGCTTGAGACCAGAATCGTGTTGTGTAACTGGTTTGGAAAAAGCATCACAAATAAAAAAAAAAAAAAAGAAATAATAAAAAAAGAGAGTATGCTTGTCAACAGATAAAATCATGGAACTGTAAGAGGCTTAGGTCTTTCCAGCTCCCTTTAATTTCAGTGTCAAGTGTGCCTTTAAATCCATCTGAAAGTGCAGAGGACTGCATTTTAACATTCTGTCAACAAAAACCTGTGTGTTTTAAAGCTTGCTGATCTGGGATGAAGCAGCACTGAATAGAAATGGTGATTACAGAGCTACTGACAGAACATTTTGAAAAAAACAAAGACTGCTGGCCTTCGCCTTGCTAGGTCCAGCCTGGCATAGCAAAAGCAAACCAGGCATTTATTGGTTTCCAAGGTGGAAAGGCTGCCTTGGTTGGAAAATCATGGAGAATCCTATCAAAAATCTTTTAAAACAAGGTAGAAAAGAATTTATGATGAAACTTTAAACGGCAAAACTGGCTCCTATGGTGCTTCCCTGAAGCTCAGGGGACAGCTGGATTGAAGGGTGATCGGGGTAAGGAAAGCCAGTTACAGATGAGCGTACCAGAAAATCCTGGCTTACAGGCAGCTGCAGGGCAGAGGCTGTGCAGGAGGGCAGCAGGGAATTCCAGCTCCTGGCACAGCATGCTGGCTGACAGGCAGGCTGCAGGCAGAGGCTGAAGTGGGGAGACCTGCGAGCTCATCTGCTGGGTACCTCACTGAAAGGACAAGGCAGGCCAACTTGAGACATGAATTAAACCCAGCCTGCCACCAAATCTGGTGTTTCTGGATTTTAAGAAGGTCAGCAACTTTAAAGTATTTTAACTGAACTTCCATGTGCTGGCTCCTCTATTTACCTGGTATAGCAGGGAACCAGAACTATCATAGGCAATGCTTTTTTTTTTTTTTTCCTCAGTCTTCTACTTAACTATATGAAGAATTACTGGGACAAAAATGTCCAGGTAACTTACTCAATACATATATGTTAGTTCAAAGAAGAATCATAGACAACCCTGTGAAGGAGTCCATCTATTGCCAGTGAACATCATCATCTGAACTCATCACAAATAAATTCCAAAGAAATGCAGAAATCAGAGCGATGTGGGAATACTTCCAGCTTCAGAGTTCTTGTTTATGAAAACCTCTGGAGAGAAGAGAAAAGAAAATGGATGGCTGGCTGCCAGCTAAGCCTATTTGTCATAAATATGCCCTGTAGCATCTTCTGGAAACCTGTGCTGTTTCTAAATATACTCTTGGCCAAAACCCATGACTTAATTCAGTATGCTGCACCTTTCTGCTTTACTTGAAAGACTTGATTTTAGTTCTCTCTACAAACTGAACATAAAACAGCCACATTCGCTTTAATATATGGAAGAATAAAATATGGAACTGAGTGGAAATCTGTCAATGTACCAGTCAGCCCTCCTTCCTCACGCGCTGCCTCTCCTCACATGCAAAGAACAAAGTTTAAGACCTATGACCAAACTCTGCCTTGTTTTTTAACCTTGTGTTGAAGTGAGTGGAGTTGCCAAGGCGTAAACAAGAGCAGAATTTGGCTTTGTATGATTTATTTTTCAAAGGATTTCCTGTTAACTTCTGTCTTTAAACAGGAACCAACAGCTAACATTGCCCCACAACCTGCCAACGCAGAACAAAACAACCACAAATGCCTCCAAACTCAGGAATCTCATCAGTTTAGAAAAGAACAGTTTCTAAGTAGCAGATAGAGAAAGGAAGAACAGGGAAGGCCTGATCTCGGCTCTGCACTGACAGCCAGCAATACCACAAGCTGTAAAGTAAAAGGCCTCAGATCAGATACCCTGATAATCTCCTCCCTCAGTTCATTTCTCCGTAAAATCTGAATGATTTTTTTCTCTTTGCAATGCTGTAGACAAGGAGACAAATTTCAAACCAAGATGACTGAGGGCAAGACAGAAAGCCAAACAATCAAAGAGACTGTGGGACTAATCCGGTGACTTGGCACAACCAAACATAGATTTGTTTTCCTAGTGGAATGAGTTGTAACGAATAAAGGTTCCTGATTTTCAATCAGCAGGGACTCCTTGCTTTGTTAAACTCCCAACTTGATTCTTCCCTTCCCATATGGTTTCCTGTTCCAGATACAGATTGTTTTGAGTGGCAATGGTGAGAATCATGGAATCACAGAATCGTTAAAGCTGGAAAAGACCTCTAAGATCATCAAGTCCAACTATCAACCCAGCACCATTAAATCATGTCCTCAAGCACCAAATCCACGTTTTTTTTGAACACTTCCAGGGATCATGACTCCACCGCTCCCCTGCGCAGTCTGTTCCAATGTTTTACCTTTTCCTCGAAAAAATGTTTCCTGGTATCTAATATAAATCTCCCCTGATGCAACTTGAGGCTATTTCCTCAAGATGTGTTTTT